TTGAATTGCATCTTACAATATCTTAAAAGGGATAGTCAGGGTTATTATTGTTGACTAAAACCATTAAAATATATTTGTTCACTGAAATAAAACATAAATGCAAGAAATATTTACGCGCACACGCACACGCGCACACACACACACACACACACACACATTTTTTTTATGAAAAAAAAAAACTCAAAACGAAAATTAGAAGTGGTAACTAACTAAAATAAGTTTGGAATGCAGCACTAAAACTACTAGGAAAAATTAAAACATAAATAAATTAAATTAAATGTATAAATTAAATTAACATATTTTATAAATATTAACAAAAACTATAATTGTATATAAATAATACTATAATAACCATGGGAATAGTTATAAATGAAAAGTCACTCATTAGTTTTACTCATCTGCATGTCATTTCAAATTCATATGACTCACAAAAGGAGAACTTTTGAAGATTGTACTGGTCAATCTTTTCTATCCAATAACAATGAATGGAAACTAAAGTTTTAAAGCTTCATAAAAAGACACACAAGCACCATAAAACTAGTCTAAAATACTCATTTTGTGCTGTATTCCAAGCTTTGAAGCTTAGTGTGAGAAAAAGCTCATAATTTAAAGCATTAGTCACTGAAAATCTTCCCTCCAGTGAGTCATTGAGTTGAACTTGACAAGCGGATCAATCTGATTCATGAATGAATCATCGTATAAGGTTTTGTGAATCAGGTTAATTGATTCACTGAAAAGATCTGACTCAAAATATGATTTGTTCACTAATCACACATTACTCTTGAACTTTCCTTTTCATTCTAAAAGACTTCAGTCCTCAATCATTCCAATACCATTGAAAAAAGCATGGAAACAAAGCTCAAAAAGTCTAATTTTGTGTTCTGTGGAAACAAGAAAGTGTTTGGTACAACACAAGGGTGAGTAAATAATGACGGTTTTTATTTATGGCTGAACTTTACAGTCATAACCATGTGTTGTTCTCTCAAGGCTCTCTGTAAGTCTGACATGATTCTCAGAGACATCACTCATTCACACGCAGGCCAGAATTCAAGATTCACTTTTGGCTATTTAACCAAAACTAGCCTGTCTCTGAATTTATTTCCCTGCAGATCTCCACACTGAAACACAAAACACTCTTTGTTTATCACAAATTATGAATAAATTCCCTCTCTTTCTCCACAATACCGATGGCCTGAATTGCTCCTGAGCATTGCATTTCATGTTCCTGCAATCAGAAAAGCAATTTTACAGAAAACAAGGTACAGCGGTGTGTTTGACTTTCGGCACCGGCAGTAATCGGCCTATTAGAGTGTTTTCCCAGTTCTGCAGTACAAGGGTCAGAATAGTAAAATAAAGCTCTCCCACAGCTGAAGGATGTGCACAGGGAGAAAACGCATTATTCCAGATCATTTACACTTAGCTTTTAAATCAAAGATCGTACTGCATCAGCAAGGAGAATCAGATAAAAGTCCTGAATATAAGCAAGGACAGCAGCAGGATCTCTGTAGGTATGTGCACAGAATACACACACACACACACACACACACACACACACAGTGACCACTGTGAGATAATAGAACCTCATTATTCTATCCGCTATACATTGTCTGATAGCACTTATTAAAATCAGTTCAACATTTTCTTAATGGTAGCATTAATATAACTGTGGCCGACATTATGATGATTAATTAGAGTAATAATGATGTCCCTTATGACTGCTTTAAACGATTCAGATGATGAAAGGGTCAAGAAGAATAGTTGGTACATTAATATCCTGTGTGATATTTAAATGTTTCTGAGCATGAATGCTCGTTGGTGGCCATTAGTACTTTCTGGTGTCCTTTCTGGCAGAACCTCGCTGCCATTTAATTTCACCCCGAGATGTGTGTATTGATCTTGAGAGCCACTGCAGTATGTACACCCACCCACACACACACCCACACACACACACACACACACCCACACACACACATGTCTGGTCAGCTATCCTTGTGGGGACTCTCCATAGGCGTAATGGTTTTTCTACTGTACAGACCGTATATTCTATTGCCCTAAACCTACCCCTCACAGGAAACTTTCTGCATTTTTAGATTTTCAAAAAACTTCATTCTGTATGATTTATAAGCTTTTGTACCCGTGGGGACCACAATTTAGGTCCCCACCGTGACACGAGTCCCCATGAGTCTGTGTGTAGTCAGGTTTAAGTCCCCACCAGAATATATAAACCAGTACACACACACACACACGAGCGGACACAGAAACACACACATAGGGGTGAGAGGTATGATCAAAATTATATACCACATCTAACTATATTAAAACTTTGGCAGAAAATGTAAAAAAAAAAAAATACTAATGTTCAAAGGTTGTAAGATTTTCTTAATGTTTTTGAAAGAAGTCTCTTGTGCTCACCAATGCTGCATTTATTTGATCAAGAATGCAGCAAAGAGAGTAATATTGTGATATTTTTTTTACAATGTACAATAACGGTTTTCTATTTTAATATAGTTTCTGTATAAATGTATTTTATTCCTTTGATTGCAAAGCTGAATTTTCAGCATCATTACTCCAGTCTTCAGTGTCACATGATCCTTCAGAAATCATTCTAATATGCTGATTTCCTGCTCAAGAAACATAAAAAAAACAGATTCGCTGCTTAATAGTTTTGCAGGTATTAACCAGCATTTTCCAGGATTCTTCCAAGAAAAGCATTTGCAAAAACATCTTTTGTAAAAACCAGCATTCAAAATTATTCATAGCCAAATTAAATGCAAAAACAAAAATGAACAAAAACAACATAAAACTATAAAATTGATTGCTTTGATTTAATTACACATTCAAAGCCAATATAGTGTAAATGAAATATACATAAAAGCTGTGAAAGAGCTAATATGCAGTCTATGCTGATACAACAATAATTGAAATCAATCAATCATAAGTAAATAAATACAAAAATTAAGCAAAATATTTCACATTTTATTTTTTTAATTAATGTACATTTATAAAAAAAATATACTTTGTGTTATATTATCATGTCATTAAATGATAAAAAACAACAACTAGTTTTTTTGAGTTTTACATAGACTGGCCTAATCATGTGTGACATAACAAATCTTTACATATATCCTTTATATTTTACATTCACCATTACATGCTGATATTTGCAATCATCGTGCATAAGAATCAGCAAACCTCGATTATGAAACACAAGCAGCCCTTGCGCAACCAACGACAGCAAACCAACATTTATGAATCGAAGTTTCAAAAGCCTACGTCAAAAGACAATTTGAACTTTTCCCAAACTGTGAACCTCACTGGACTTCAAATGGTTTTACAAACTACTTTTAATAGCATTCTGAATTACTCTGTCTCTTTTCCACTTGGCTTTATGAGCAGGTTTAGATCACAGGTTTAACCTAGTAAATTAGTTTTTCATCTCCGAGAATGTCTTCAGTTCAATGTCACAACAGAATAACTGAGACATTAGTGCATTGTGCTCATCTTCGATCGAATCAAATGAAGTGTTCGTATGACAGTGAACAGAGGTTCACACCCATCTGTCAATCATCAGGCCATGAAATGGATGGTTTGGATACTCTCACGCATCTTAAAGACCATCTTCACCCTTTGAGATCAACAAGACACAGATGTAACCGACTAAGCTAGATCATTTCCCCCTGATCTGCTGCCAGTCACACGCTAGCCTGACACTGAACACTGAACAAGACACAATGCCTATAGTTTGTTTCCCCCTCATTTAACACTGTTTCCCAGTGCTAATGAAGCCATAAAGCAGCTAACAGCACACACGCAGCCACTTAAACTAAATAAGCCCAATTCATAAAACATAAGAGGTTCATGACGTCGGTGTTACTGAATTTGAGGGATTGAATTTCTCAAGTGCTTCTTGCATGAAATCAGGGTGCAGTGCTTGTTAATAACACTTACATTTTTGTTTAAAGGTGTTATTCAGCCCAAAATTTAAATTTTGTCATTATTGACTGATCAAAAAATTATTAAAACATAAAAATGATTTACGTTCCAATAAATAAATAAATACATAAAAAGTAAAGGTGAGTAAAGAGAATAAATAATGGTAATTAATAAATTATATAATAAATAATGAAAGCGTTTTCATTTTTGGGTGAATATTTGTTTAAGGCTGGTTTTAAACCAAATGAATGTTTGATTGTAACTGACTACCGTTCCAAAGTCTGGGGTCAGAAAGACTTTTTAATGTTTTTTTTTAAATAAGTCTCTTATTCTTACCAAGGCTGCATTTATTTGATCACAAATAAAGTAAAAACAGTAATATTATTACAATTTAAAAGAACTGTTTTAGTTCTAGTTAAATATATTTTAAAATGTGATTTATTGCTGTGATGCAAAGCTGAATTTCCCTCGTAATTACTCCAGTCTTCAGTGTCACATGATCCTTCAGAAATCATTCAAATATGCTGATTTACTTTATTAAATATATCAGTGTTAAAACAGTTGTGCTGCTTAATATTTTTGTGGAAACCATGAAACATTTAGGATTATTATAACAATATATAAAGTCTTTACTGTGACATTTGATCAAATTTAATGTATCCTTGGCTAAATATTAATTTTCCAACATTTCTTAGTATCCCCAAACTTTTGAACGGTAGTTTATGTCAATTACAGATTCATACAGCAAGTACTACAAATAACAAATATTTTGTCCTAGGGACTGTGAAACATTGGCTCTGATCCTTCCATCCACAGAGAGCAAGAATTAAAAGGCAATTGTTGTGACATAAGAAGATGACGTGACAACAAAGAGACTGAACTCTAGAGAAAATAAATCTTTCAAATGTACAGAAGGAAATGAGGTCAACATTAAAAAAAAAAAAGAAACGCTGCCGCTGAGAAGCCATTTCCAGCCTGAATGTAGTCAAACTACATAATACAGAAACAAAATATTACATGCATCTGAAATGGAGTCGTGTAAACAATAAGTAGCTCTAGATTCAAACCTTGGTTTTCTCCTGCTGCAGTTCAATTTGGATTTCGGTGAGTTTGGCCCTCAGCTCCTCATTGGCTGCCTGCAGTGCTGCCATGGCGTCAGGCCGCTCCCCTTTGCCCCGCCCACTGGGGGGTTTCTTGGACATATTGGGCGGTACTCCACAGGCCACGCCCCTTTCAGGGATGACCTGAGTTTGTGAACGGTCAAGATTGGTTTCCGTTTGTTCCTCAGCTACATCTTTCCATCCACCTGCAGTTCACAAGGAAACAAGGATTTAAAAAGCTCACTGAGATGTAGAAAAAAAATTATAGTTTGACTGTTTCACTAAAAGAAAATCAGCTTGAAATACAAATTAAAAAGCCCATTAATTAATGCAATTTCTTTTCTGTTGACAAATTACCAATTAAAACAGGAATGATGGATGGGTCATATTGTATTTTGTTCCATTTTCCTAGAATAAAGCACTTAATTTTCCATTCTGTTAAAATGTATTTTGTCATCTTCTAGTACCACACTAGATGACCTTAAAGCTAACAGAAATTGACTAAAAGCCACAAAATATTTGATATTAAGTCTTCAAGTCTTCAGGTCTAAAATCAACACAAGACATCTTTTACAATAACTTTAAAATTTACAATAAAAAAAATAAATAAAATTTGACACTTTTATATTTGCGAGTCAACAGCTACATATTCTATTTAAAAGACTTGCCATTGTAAATATCTTAAAGTCAACATAAAATCAAATAAGACCCATTTTTACTTTAGATGCACAATCCTGGAACAATTATTCTATGCATTTTATTCTTATTTGGAATAAATATAGAAAACGTTTATTAAAATGTCATTGGTTGCTCTGCCCTTGCAATGAACCTTCAGCTGATTTCATGGCTTCATTTTGGTGTTCAGCACCCGATTTTCACAATCCTATCACTTTTAGACGGTTAATAGCGTAAGAATATTGAAGTAAAATGGGTTGCAAACTGAGTTGCATGTTGACTTTACAACAGAGAAAATGCTATTAGTGCCATTTATTGATTAAGTCACTGGCTCACAGCTCAGAAAACAGACGCATGAGCTGAATACCAAATGAGAGTCTGCTCTCTGCCAGATAAAATTTGAATAAAATGTATGATTTTCCCCTTTAAATATGTAAATATAAACATAAATACATATTATCTGAATAAATATTGTGTAAATAATTTTCTGTAGCCATTGCTCTCTAGAGAGTGGTATTAGTTTCAACAGTGTTATGGTTATTTCAATCAATATCTAATTCAATACTTTAGAGAAGTTCCCCCTTATCTGAGGGTTAGTAAGATCAGGCAACACCTTTTGTGGAGTTCATAATAAGCTATATTCTTAACTTCGTTGCCTTGCTTGTCAAGTCAAACTGAAGTGTAATTTTGTGCTTTTAACAGGCAGCACCTTTCTCTTTCATATCCTGACCCGTCAAAAGCGTTTTCACAAACGTGAGGTTCATCTTAACTAGAAGAGATACGTTTCTAAGCACTGGGAATAATCGCTGTGACGTCACACAAATGCTAATCTCTGTTGGCCAGCACTGATTAGTTAATTCCTTCATTTAAATGATCATTGATTAATTAATGATAAAAGTCCCTCATTATAATAGTGATTTTTATCTCTTGTATAAACATCAGATTATGTACTAATTGCCCTTTTTCAAGTGTTTAACACTTTATTAGCAAGAAGACTGTGGGGGTACCTGGTTAGCGTCTTACTTCTTTTGTAATAAAGCATTATTTTCTGACACTAGTTTAAAGGGGTCATATGATGCGATTTCAATTTTTCCTTTCTCTTTGGAGTGTTACAAGCTCTTGGTGCATAAAGAAGATCTGTAAAGTCGCAAAGACTAAAGTCTCAAATCCAAAGAGATATTCTTTATTAAAGTTAAGAGTCAGCCACGCCTACCTAAAACGGCTCGTTCTAACACACCCCACATGTCTACGTCACGATGTGAGAAGATTTGCATAACGCCGCCCAAAGGTTCACGCAAAGAAAGAAGGCGTAACTTATATTCTCGCTGTAGTATTGTTG